CATTTAATGTAAGCTACATGAGAAGAAACAAATGGACTCATTGAACGGGGCGCAGACGCTACGCACTTTAACCCTTGATGCCTGCTGTTGCTCCGGAACAACATCTACAATTTTTTTTTCGACAAACACAACCTGGTGCGCGATACTTATGGTGCTATTCGCAAGTTTCGTCGCCTATAGGAGGCGCAATAGGTGATTCGATATGGCACCCACAGAGAGTATCAGTGTGCGTGTTTCATAAGACGCCAAGCGCGTCTTTCACAAACAGTACGTCTTCCTCTCGGTTTCACAAACAGTTACGTCTTTGCACTCGGCGGCTTTCATGAGACGCTGAGTGCGTATTTCACAAGTTGCTACGTCTTTCTAAAGCATATGGTATGGCCTAAGCTGCTCATTCCCGCTGCGCTGTCTACTACTGTGCAGTTCGAGCTAATGATGACATACTGGGTGCAGCCCAAGTGTAAACATATGCGTTTCTCAAGAGGTGAGATGTAGCGGTGACCAAAAACTGGGGCTTGACGCAAGCATAAATCAGATAGCCTCGATTTTTTACCTACGTTGCTGCAGAAGTAGTCGGTGCTGATAAAGTGCGCGCTGCACACCTTCATCAGTGATGTGACCGACTCGCCAATTCTCAACTTCGCTATCCATTCCTTTTTCCTCGCTTCATCTCAAGGCAAGGAATTGAGGCTGACTGTCGTCGATGCTCTCTTTGTTTACTGCGGCACGCAGCACAGGCGATTGCTTTTGAAGCCTTTAAATTTAGGCATTTTGTGGCCGTGATGGGGACTTGAAGAACACAAAGTAAATGCACCCAGGAGCACCACCGCCCCACCGACCGATACTCTTTGAAAAAATTCCGCCGGTGGCCGCGGGACGGCGTGACACTCTAGGAAACTTGCGAATATGTCATAGGAGACCAACACTAGCGGGCGTATTGAACTTATAAAATTTGAGAAATAAATACATTGCGTTTTTGTAAAATTTTCGTACAGCTTCTAACAAGTGGTAAAAGAAAGCTCCGCACGCAGAATACCATTTATTTGGATACAGCAGAACAGGAAGATACTGTGACATCTGCTATAACTAAATTGCCTCAAAGGGCGTTGTAGAACATTTACGAGCATGCTTATTATTAGTGCGGCCACAAGTTACATCACAGAACTCATTTGATACCAAATAGTTTGTTGCTCAAAAGCAACGTTGGGCATGCCCCGCCGCGGTGGTCTAGTGGCTAAGGTACTCGGCTGCTGACCCGCAGGTCACGGGTTAAAATCTCGGCTGCGGCGGCTGCATTTCCGATGGAGGCGGAAATGTTGTAGGCCCGTGTTCTCAGATTTGGGTGCATATTAAAGAACCCCAGGTGGTCGAAATTTCCGGAGCCCTCCGCTACGGCGTCTCTCATAATCATATGGTGGTTTTGGGACGTTAAACCCCACATATCAATCAATCAACGTTGGGCATATAAAGGAGTACAAGTTTATGCGGAAAGATTCGATTCTACTAATTTGGAGTCTACGGAGTTGTTATATTCAATGTTTATAATGTGCGAAAGAAAGGAAAATGCCATCTTGCTTGCTTGCTTGTTCCTTTCTTTTGTGGCTCTCACCCACTAAGGGGGATTGGCCAAGAAGCCGGTGGTTAATGCAAGTAAATACCTATAGATTTTCTAGATTAGGGGAATATGATTACTGTGTTTTGACTGTGAAATTAATTTGGCGCAATGTTAAAAAAAAAAGAAAAGAGCTTCGCACCCCTTTCATCGCCCTCTTCCTCGTCTGCATCTCTCACTTAACAAGTGCGTCGATCCCTCCAGTATAAGAAAAGAAAGAAACTTCATATTTAGAAAAATGTATGCGTGGACGGCTCCAAGCCCTTTTCATTTTCGCTTTATTAAAATTAAAAAGATCGTTTTTATGACATAAAAGAAGAAGGTATCTTCTTTTTTATAGCTTTGAAATAATTTTTCTTGGCTTGATAAGGCAGATGCTTGGCCTAGTTGGTGATTGGGAATCAACATATTTGCACAGCGCAAGACTACGAGTAGTTACGACGTAACTACAGAAAAAGAGACAAGGACAGAAAGAGTGCTCTTTCTGTGGATATATGTTGATTTTTCTTCACTACCCGAATCATTGTCACTCCCACAGGGTAGGTGTAAGCCAAAATTCTAAGATGTACTTTTATATCTCACTATTGGATGGTGAAACGTGAATCTACACTTTATTCCAGCTCGCTACTGGTGGAAGGCCAACGTTTCTCAGAAGGAACACCTGATTGTTTACTCATAAATATTCATAATATTTCTAAATATTCATAAATATTTCTTTCTGAAAACATTACTGTCATACTTTATCATTTCCTTAGTATAGCGGCGTTTCATATAAGTTATTCATTGAAGCAAACTTTCCTGGCATGCAAAGGTTAAGAGGTCAGAAAATCAGGCCTGGTCTGGTCAGAAACGCAAAATGCGGTCTATGCGAAGCTATTGGAAAGCGATGATTCTCTAGTAGTGTGGCGTCGCTTTCCTCAGGTTCTCGTGGATAAACGTCAGATTTTACACGAATCAATATCCTATTGGTAAAAACTACATGGAACACTGTGGATACTACTGCACCACGAAATTTCTATAGACATGTCATTAGTACAAAAAGGGGTCATTCAGAGGAAAGGGCTCTGGCCAGCAGAGGAAATACATTAGGCACTCACAGTGCAATCAGTTAAGCGTAATAAAAAATTGGGCAGATCACACGTACCTGGGAATTGATTTTACGCGAAGCATGCGGAGGAAAGCTGACCATGTAGCAATTTTTTATTGAGCAACACGTCATGAAATGTCACTAAATATATGTACAAATGTTGCATGCAGACATATGCTGAAGAGTTGCAGATGTTTATATAACTAGTTGTTCGCATTTGCACAACGATGTCAACCGGAACATGCGTATTAGCAATACCAGAAGGTGATACGAAGCGCTGACGCTCGCGAAGACGCTGGCCAGGACATTGCTGCAATAGTCAGCTTCAGCTCATGGCACCTAACCACAATTGACGTTAGCTCGACGTGACGGCTCTATCAAAGGAGTACATATATAATGTTTATAAAATTGGGTAGGCAGCAATTCAAACACCATTGATGTTTCATGAAGATTGACGTCTATTTGAAAAGTAGTTATGAGACCTGGAGTAACTCTGTGGTATGGAATGCTTGACTGCCTCGCAGATCGCTTGGGTTCGAATCCTGCTGGGACCTTGAAAATTATTTGCATTCGCCGGGGGCTCAATGCTGCCTATGTCGGGTTTTTCTTAACACAGACATTTATTCTATGCAATCGTTGGGCCACGCTCCTGATGTCGGGCATTGCTTACGCTCACGCATTAAAATCGCCCATGTGTGTTCTCATCGTTCTTAGCGCCATACCAAGTATCAGTTACCCGTTGTACATACCCGCCGACCAGCGGCACATTATCCTGGTGGAAAGTGTTTAACGACGTACGCGATGATATTGTCACATTACTTTTATCTTCACGAGTGCGTCACATTCGTCAAACCATCTTGCCCTCCCATGCTAATTTTGGTTCATGCCATGTTAAGGGGTGACCACGAGAACACCCAAACATAAGCGTCTAGATAGATGTATACGATAGATAGATGAATAGATAGATAGACACTACGTCGCACCATATGCTTCGCCGACATGGTCACGTCAGGTTGCCAGCGCAAGAATGGACAACTTCTACGAAGGTTTCGTGCAGCCTTTTATTTGCCCCTATTTTTTGTACGTCCTGCGCCTGGTGCCTGAATTGTTGACTTTCAGTGCGTTGATAAGCCGCTGGTCGCGTTCTTGAGAACACCGAAGGTGGCTAGTGGACCGAACTCACGGTGTTCTCCCATGCCAACGGTGTTGTGAGTGCTGCGACTAAATCCACGGCGCTGCAGGGAGGCGAAAGAAACAAAATGTGGATCATAATAAATCTTAGATTTCAGGTGCCGCAGATTGAGTAACTGTCACCCCGATTAAATGATATGAACAGCGGTTGCACGTGTACAGCGATGAAAAGAAGGCGGGGACGTCGGATGAGCTGGCGTACAAGTGCATCCGCGTTCCACATGTGGAATATGACGAATGCGGCCACCGTGCAAAGAGCCGGTGCAACCTGCCCCGGTTTTCAGTGAAGGCTCTTTGGGCGCTGCCTTAGTGCTCTTTGGGCTGTTAGTGCGCGTGACCCCCCAAAAATGCACTGCCCAGGCTGTGACGTCGGTTTTTGCACTCTTGTGCAAGAGCGAAGTAAGGAGGAAGTACTCTAAGCGCACCCCTGGTGGACTTGCGCAAGCGGCTCTTCTTTCTCCGGTGAGAAGTGAGTGTGCAGCTGCTTGTCCAGGCCCTTTCTGACCTGGAACAGCATCTGGATCTGGCAGTTCTTGTAACAGATTACTTTATTGAGATCTTGTAAAGAAGCGGTTGCCTGGCTCTTTTTGAGGGCACGCAACCACTCGTTCAGAGCCTCCTGTTCTATCTCGGCCGAGGAGTGCATAAATATCAGCCTGGTCAAGCCGTTCGAGAACAAGAAGCCTCTCCTGGCCACCAATCTTGGCCAGGAAGCGGTGCTTCACTTGTCCTTCAGACTACAGGCGCCTGTTCACTACAGAGAGGCAGAAAAGACAAACACAGAGCTTTTAAATCCCCCAAAACAACGATACGCTTAGGAGTGAGGCTGTACAGGAGTTCTTCAACGTACGCATTTACATTTTGCCTACATTGACATGTGATGTTTTCACCTCGCGAACTCCGGGTCTAATCGAGCACTATGACCGGAATTAGTAATGGCGGCTAGTACCTTGTATCATTTTTTTCTGGTCTACTTGATCATTAGGAGGGAATCGTTGTGCGTGTATTGTCGAACGCTGTCGTGCGCATACCTTCGCGCGATAGCGTCCGAATTCATAAACAGAGTAATGTAGGGACGACTATTATAAGCCTTTAGGTTGGGACACTTACCCGGGTCGGCGACGTCCTCAACGACGCAGGCGGCAGAGTCGCTGCAGTTGGTCGATATCTGGGGAGCTGCAAACCACTGGCGGTTTGCTATGTCGTACCTTTCAACAAGCTGGACCATTCTCATACCTGTTTGGAAGATAAGGAAGTGAGGTAATAATCTATAGCAGTTGAATCCTCTCGAACCAGAAAGTCGTGTACTTGACTATCAGATATGCTTCAGCGCACTGGAGCCACCAGAAGGCTTAGGACAAACGATTCTACAAAAAGGCGCATGAGTGAATTTTACGTTCGTGTTCACGGGCTTTGATGCTGGTAAGATCAGTTGGTATACAGCGACTGCTCCAGAATCAGTCCGTTCTAGGTTCTATTCACAAAGAAATCTGCATGTCTTGACGTGATGCGTAGGCCGAACAAATACAGTAGTTAGCTGGCACTCACAGCAGAAGACATGTGCTGCAGCTACGAGTATTCTCTGCGCAGGGCAAGTGTGTTTGTTGCCTGCACCACACTATGGCTTGATGTCATGCAAATCGTGTGTGGTGACGATTATTCCCTTCCACCAACATGCGAGACCCCGCAGACTCCGCTTGCTTATAAATATATGAGTACCATATGCTCTGCCACACCACAGCTAACTGCATTTCTTCTTTTGCGTGCTACTTGAATATCATGATTGCTACTAACAAATGTGTTGATCAGACTTGCCGTTGTAGCCCCCGATGACATAAATGCAGCCATCAAGGACGACGGCTGCGAAGCTGTTTTTGGCGTGGGGCATGCTGGGTAGCTGAAATATACGACCTCTCCTTACGTCGAGCTTCTCCACTGTAAATAGTGAATCAGAAATTACAACGTGATACTGAAGAACTGGTGCTATTTACGAGCGCTATTAGTGCTGTAACGACGTTACAAGGAGCACGGCTAGCGGGATACCACACGTGTTCAAGCTCTGTCCATTCCTACAACAAACTCGCCAATGAGCATAACCATTGCACCAAGGCGGACGAAAAAAAATCCTCGAGTACTCCGTGCGTATAGTTTTCTGGTTTGTCTTGCTTCCGTCTTATTCACTGTTCAAACAACGCGCATTTCAAACAACTTGACCAGTCGGCATTTTAATGTATTGAGAACTTTACCATGCCCCCGCTGTGGTAGCATGAGGCGACCATTCTCGTGAATGTCATTGCATTGTGCTTGCGCACTAGTGCATCATACTAAACTAAAGAAGAAAAGAAATGTTTGTGAATACCGTTCGTGTCTTTCATTTCGTGTTTCTGTCTTATTTCAAGCCCCATTGTAACTGTACCACCATACCGTATATCTTTCTGCATGCACAGTACAGATTGCATTGTGCTTGAAAAACCACTCGCAAGATGGGCAAAGACAGGAAATTGCTCCAGTGGTTTATGAATTCAACCGACTCGCCCATTGCTTAAAGCCATCATGCGTATAGCTTTCTGGTCGGTCTTGGTAATGTCTTGTGCGCCTAGCCTGCCATCTCACTACGAGAACTATTGCCACTGTATCACCACGGCCACCAAGGCTGACGAAAAAAATTTGATTAAGGCGACCATGCGCATAAGTTTCTCGCCAGACGCAAAACCCCTAACCTGGTGATTGAATGCACCAGGCGCTTAATAATTTTCTCTTCGTTCACCGATAGTAGAGTGGCGGTAGTGTGCCGCCATCAAGGTTACACAATTACAACAAAGAGAGACGTACAGCTGGAAAGTCGCGTGACTCCATTGTAGCCTCCGATGATGTACAACATGCCCTTGTGGGCCACGACCTTGGCGCCGCTTCTTGGAGATGACATAGTGGTAATATGGGTCCAGATGTTGGTAGATGGGTCGTAAGATTCAATGCTGTCGAGAATCGTGGCACCTGTGAAGCCGCCAGCGCTGCAATAGAATCATAGGGCATAAGAGGCGTGACGATCTGTTCTATCCCCGCCTCATCTCACATGCCAAACTTGCTGAGGGAGCAATGAGTCTTCCACAAGTAAGAGAATTTAGGCTACGTTAAAGGACACCTACTGCTGGACAGCCACCCTTGCGATGACAGGGTCAGGTCGGAGAGAACACGTGACAGTTAAATACTGGCCGAGTGCGACGTCCCACTGTTGCTAGTGGTTAGAATTGAGGTAATATTGACATTGACATTGGAAAGTTCAAGCCGAAGTCACGATCATGAATTTCCTCAAAACAATGGCACAAAGACTACCGTATCTTTGTCTGCCTCTTTATCAATGAGAGATTAAGCGTGTTGCATTATGCCGCTTTCGGCTAGATTTTGCTGCAGTACTAGTACTCTTTTTTAGCTGCTACATTACGAACTGCGTGCAAAAATGCAAAACTTCAAGCGTCATTCGTTCTGAAGACGTTTGTCTCTATCCTGTGCAACCTGGAGGGCTAATGCGCAACCAGAGATGGCCAGTGGCACCGTCGATAGCCCTAAACATGTAGCTGTGAAGCATGCTTCACGATAGCACATACCATGTAGCTTAGGGAGATTGCTGGCAGCGTTCTGTTGTGACTGCGATACCGCCACGCAAAGTCCGAAAACTAACTCACATGTAGATGCGGCCATGAGCTACTGCGGCGCTGGCGTTGCTGCGGGCTTCAGTCATGTCCGCCACCAGGGACCACTGGTTCACCATAATGTCATAGCACTCCACGGTCCTGGTATGCGCACGCCCGTCAAAACCACCCATGGCGTAGATGCTGCCCTGCAAGACAACCAGATGATAATCACCTCTATCAACTAGATTGTTGCGATGGTCCGCATGACAAAAAGTGGGTGAAAGAAACGAAGGTGTTGACCATATTCGTTGTTTAGGTGAAATGGTCAGCTATATCCAGGTGTATTTAGAACCGGATTGAGTAAAAAACGACTCGTTGTGCCATTATTACATCAGTAAGATTGCCTAACTTTGCGCGGGCTCACAGAATTTTGTCTCCACCGAAATGCGACCGCCGTGGCTATAACATTTGCTTCTGCATGGCGGTGTCTGGTGTCTACTCCCACACAATCCACATAACGTTGCGCAATAGCAGTTACCACCGCCGTTTCCGTCGGAATATATAAGCTATCAAAATTTCCCGCAGTAGAAAGAGATGATTTCATACATACACGTTGGATTAAGCGTAGTTACGCTGTACAGTGTAGAAGAATAAATAGCTAAAACTAGAGGTATTTCAATCAGACCAGCTGGCAAGTTCCTGTGATTTCTTCCTAACACTTGCCTGCAAAACGGCAACACTGACGTAGCAGCGTGCGAAGGCCATGTTTGCTTTGGTGCTCCACCTGGCGAGGGGCACGTTGAAACACACCACCGAATGATAGCACTCACGTCCGTTGAAGCCGCCCACGAAGTAAATACACGAGTTGATCACAGCCGCGCTGTGGTACGCCCTGCAATGGTTCAAGACCAATTTTATGGACGCCTTCAAGTACTTTTGAAGGATAATAGTCTATCTGCACTAAAATATAGATGTAACCACATGCATGTTGCTCACTATTCCACGCATTTGGCCAGCTTACCCGACGCACTTTTATACCCCATACGTACGCAAAGTCTCATACAGGCTGCTCTGCACAAAAAGTACATGACAGCTACCAATTTCTTTATTACTTCGGTTATCTATACATATGTATACCCAAGGCAGCCTCATCGCACGTGTGCGCACAGAAGTAGGTGAAGCAGATGAATGCGCATCAGGTGAATTTGTATTCACATGAATATGCAAATATTTGTTTCAATTCTCTTCTAAATAAGAATCCACTTTTTTTATGTGGAGCATGTGGCCATAATTGAAATGAAAAAAAAATGCTGACCAAAGCAAAAGGTACGTCGAAGTCCTAAAGTCGATGTGAGCGATTTTTCTGTTGCTTCAGTGGAGCCCGGGACATTTTGGGATGCCCCTTTCATCTTATTGTATGTGCTTCAGTGAGCCCCCCTCCCCATCCATTGATCAAGCCATCGGGCACGTCAATGCTGAGAAGAGAAAGTTTCTGTTTCAAATCTCAGATGTGCGCCTTAGAAGGGAGATGATGGCCGATGGTGTCCAAGAGTGCCTGTGTAATTTCCAATCAATTTATTTGCCATAATCATTAAACTGAAATTTAGTACTCAATTGCCCATATTAGTGCCAATCAGCCGAGTGTCCATTATTTCCTATCGCAATATTTTGAACAAGTCTTTTAAAGGGAGATGTCTTCATATACTTCCTAAGTATTTTTATAGTACTATGTTTGAACCCGGCAGGTAGGGGTACGGTCTGACTCTGCCCATCGCAAAAATACAGAATGCGAGGAAGCTAGGGCACAAGTCACCTTGGAGTTGTGTTCTGGCTTCCCATAACGCGCCACTTCTGGGCGCGGCCATTGAACGTGAACATTTTGTTCGTGGCAGTCGACGTCAGTCCACCGAAAACGAACAGGATGTCTTTGGGCACGCGAGGTGTGAGCCACTGCTTTGAAGACAGGTCGATGATGGACACTTTGCCTACCTCCAGTGAGTGCTGGGTGAGCGTCTGCGTGGACAAAAAGCACCGTCCGTATACTTCAGAAAGTGCATACTTGAGCAAACTATAGAGTTAAGGGGCAGAGCGTAGCTTGTTAGCGTGGGACGATGTGGAGCCGCTAAACGTTGCTGCTTGCGCGATCTTACCTGCATCTACATAGCACTATCTGAATATTTGGTCAAGTGCGACATTCGATATATACACAGTCTTGGACAGTAGCAGGAACTTCTCGTAAATTTCTTGAAATCTTGTTCAAGAGGTCGTTGTGCAAGGTCGCATCAGTTTTACGACTGCCTCTAAGAAGCTACGTAAGGCTAGTGATCTTCTGTCATAGGTTCTTATAAATCATACACTCCAAACAAAAAACAAACTGACCAACCTGATGGATGACGCTGAGCACTTTCATGCTCCTCTCGTCATTCTGGACTTCTGGGTGGGATACAACCTTTTCGAATTCTCTGCAAATATACATGAGCGATGTTGGAGGGGCATGAAACGAAGCGAACAGTAGACGAGCCACGAGCAACTACTTTCACTCGGCTCACATAAGTCGTACCCGCATGTTCAAGCTGGAATTTCGGGCATGCTATTGGACACTTTCTTCACATTTGACAAGGGCGATCTTGCGAAGGAGTGTCACAATATTTTCTCATACCATTACTTTATCTTACTGATCCGCTTGAGCGCTGCCATACTCGGCTGTTAACACTTAACGATTTTGTTTTATTAGGGACAACCGAAATAAAGGTAAAACGGCATAGACTCGTAGGCATGAATGTGGATACACAGTTACTCGCAGTATGTCATGACATTCCTAGTTTGACGACCAAAATGATACTTCTGGTAACCATCTAATATGGCTCGATTAAATATGAGAGGAACTTCAGCCCTTTTCTATCTCTTCTAACTTCCAGATAACATTCGGTGTGCGCAGGCCCGTGGCAGCCTCCCGCGAATCGAGGCTGCAGCAACTACATACCTCACGACACTCAAATTAGTCAGTGGGCGCGAACTTGTGTCTATGGCAGCCAGAATAATTTCTCATGGACTAATTGTTCCCGAGAAGCTCTACTACCCATCAACAGTGTTTTCTTATTGTGCTGAAAAAGTGTTTAAACACGCATGACTTAGGACACCGAACATGCCACTTACGTGGCGCTGCATTGTACGAAGCGAACCAGAGGCAGGAACCTGGCGAGGTACTCCTTCATTGCGGCAACGTCAGCGGAGATCCACTTGAAGATAGCCTGGAAGGTCTCTTCCACTTCGCTCGGTGCGTTCAGCCGGTCGTTTTCTAGGATGGAATTCATCTCCTGAACGGTGAGAGCTACAAACTGCGCGTTGTTCTTCCACACCTGGGTCAGGAATGCACATTAATGTGGGTGTGTCAGCGTGGACGCTGAAGAGACAGCGGCTGCCACATGAGAAAGTACGTGAGTCTAGCTTGGCGAATGCGGTGTAAACAAGCATGGTGCACGCTACTTTGTTGTCCGAACAATATCGCGGTCGAACGGAAGGCTGACTAGGTCGCCAAGTGGAAGGCCGCGTCCCGTCGCCCACACGTCACGCAGGCGTATTCTATTTCTAGGGTGACTCGGGCTCTAGGCTGTATTCTAAGCTGTTGACATATGCTATTCGAAAGAGCAAGCACGTTTCGAGTTTTAAGGGCTTTTTGAAAAAAAAACACTTAACAGTTGCTTAAGCTGCCCTCTAATTTCTTGAAACTGTTATACAAATAAGGTCAGCTTTATAGTAGAATCCATACACTCAAAGTCTTGCACGTTTTTAGACCGTGTACACAGAAAAGCGCGTGCCCATGGTCTTAAATTTCTATGCTACTCTGGTGTGGCGAAGGGCCTCATAGACCAGAGCGAGTGAAAATAAATTTTTACCTCATCAAAGCTGCGAACCAGGTAGCGAAGGGCTTCTTTGGCAAGGTATTCGTATCCATGGCTGGTTGCAAGGTGGTATGTTTCAATGCAGTTTTCTGGTTCTAGGTCCTCTTTAAGTGTCTTCAGGCAGTGATGTTGAATCTCCACCAGCTGCGTCGTAAAAAAAATGGCATGCAAACTTTCCGCTATTTTCTTCTTATTCGTCTGCTTCTAAAAGCTGCGAAGTCACAAGCGACGGCTCACGCACTTTGAGCCATAGTTCGAAAACGTGTTGATGTGGTTATTGCATATTTAATTGAAACCCAAGACAGGCAGAAATCAGTCATCTTTAGCTGTGCGCTACAATTCACTACTTATTTCCCCAAGTAACAACAGAAACACTTGCTATCGATGTGCATATTTTGGATTCCACCAACTCCCATTACGACATTGCCACCACAGTATTGTTCACCTATTTCCTTTAGGCAGAGGATGTGAGTGAATGTTTAATTAAAGAACTCAACAGAAGCCAAGTTTGCTTAAACCACTGCCTAAATGACGGGACGACTATCGTACACCCTCAATCTAAAGTGTTATATAAGGTATTACAGCGCAAAATCATAATACGTTTGTGAAGAACGCCGTAGCGCAGGGTTTCAGAAATTTGGACCATATGTTGTTCTTTGATGTGCACTGACATCGCACAGCACAGGGGCGCCTACGATTTCGCCTCCATCGAAATGCGATCGCACGTCCGAGAATGAACCTGCGACCTTTGGGTGAGCAGCCGAGCCCTCCGCCACTGATACACCGAGGCGGTCAAAGTCTCAAACATACTAGCAAGTCATGTAAAAGCCTATGCAATCATTCACCATCTAGGGTACGCATAAGTGCGAGACCGGGGGACCAGCGCGTTAACTATAATATATGACGTGCGACGAAATGAGAAAGCTATTCCTTCAGTAAGCTCCCAACAAGACACATGGGCTATTTTGATAGTAGTAGCAAGAGCTCTCCGGCCTCGATGCGAGCCTGTAACCTTCCTATCAGTATAACCGCCGACCAAGGTGAAAAATTATATACGGTATCCTTACTCCCAAAGCTTCATTGCGAACAATGCCCTTGTGTGGGAGCCTGGTACGGGATATCATTGTTTTGACCAACGAATATGCTTCCAGAAAACCATTCTCTAGTTGCCGCACAGCCTGCCACTGACCTTCAGTACCTCGGCGAGTTCGAGTACCTTGACGATATTGTGCTTGCCGATGCGTTCGTGCATTGGTATGTGGTAGGCAAAGTCTACCAGAAGCTTGATGAAGTCGCCTTCTAGGTCCTTGATAACCGCTCGAACAGGTGGGCAACCCACCCTTTTCCTCTCCTCTGGAGCCATGCTCTCTTTCGCGATGGTGAAGAGTGCATAGCAACCTGAGTATCTTCAAGTAGAAAAAAGTGAAAAATTAGGTGATTCAGGGTAACATGTAAAGTCAGTATCAAACAATTGTGTAAAACACCAGTAAACACTATATATTTACGCGGATTTGGCAGGCAGAATCAAATTTACATTTCCGGCCTGCCCTTACTTGCGCGAACGACCTCTATAATTTGCCATTCGACCGCATAGGCACAAATTGCTGGGAAACTTTTGATGTCGGCTGTATATCCTGATAAAAGCATTGTTGACACCTCCTAGTGTCGTTACCGAAGCTATCTGCTCTGATATTTTCAGACATTATCAGCCTGAATGACCAACCAGCGAGAAGCAGTGGAATATTGAGAAAGCAAGCTTTCATCATATTGGCTCTCATGTGCTGCAATCTAGTTCGAGCTTGTCATAACAAAGGCGAGAAGTGCCGCAAAATCACTTCATAAACTTTAGGTTATAAAATCGCTTAGAATTCTTGGCTTGCATGTATACAGATGCAGACCGACGGTCACCTGCCTCGAACCGGATGAAACGGTCCCACAGAAGACTTGGTAAGGCGTCGCATAGACCAGCAGTAGCAACTGAACAATTCCGAGACAAAATGTCCAACCGACCCAAGTTTTCTGCTAAGGCAGTGACCCTAGGAGATTAAAGTTATCACAAATACGGCACTTACTTGGCGCACATCACGAAGCGATGCGCCCAAACTTCGGTGTTGTCTGTCGTGCGGAAAACTACGTCACAGTGCTGCCGCGTCTTCCGCTGCTCCCGCAGTCCCGGCATGGCTCTGGCGGCGGCGCCCGGCGCGAACTCCCGCTGTCGGCCATCGTCGATGAAGAGCTGCGTTGCCTCAAACGACGCGGTGAGCATGCAGTCTTTCTCGTCAGCGCCGTTGACGGCGGCGTCTTTCACTTTTGCTACGGCCGCAAACATCTCGGGCAATGTCCACAAAGGACTGACCGACGGGAAGCTGGTTTAGGTCGACCACGAGGATCCCGCGGACAACCGTAGCCCTTCGAGTACTGGGACCGGAGGAACCTGAAAGAGCCTACCGATGGGGTGACCGAAAGCCGACTGAGCAGCAGCCTGGGCTTGGCGTGTTTATATAGCCCGAGGAGTCGGTTTACCGTATTTTTGCGCGTGCTGCGTGGCACGTATGCTTTGACAGTTGATGCTGATGCTGATGACCTAAGATGAATGGCGTTCACCCACAGAGGGGGATGGGCCAAGAACCAGGCGGCAGAATACTTAAATGAAACTAAAATGAAATAAAGCCAATCTGAAAAATTAGTTTGGAGGGTTTCTGCGTTTACCATCGTTTTTTTTTGTTGTTGATGCCGAAACTTAAATGCCATAAAGCCCGATTATCAAGTCAGGCCTATGATCTGATTGCCAGGTTTCTCTGAATTAGGTCCGGTTTTGCGAAAAGAGTTCCAGTTGTTCCTAATAAGGCTCGCGTCGTCCTATCCAGAACGGCGGAATAAGTCTCGTAGTGGACAACAACTAAGGAAGCAATGCTTGGTTGTTTAAAGTTTCAAAAGAACAGTTTGAAGTTCCTTACCATCCCCATCAGTGGGTATGAGCCACGCTAGATATTTCGTCCTTATCAATATCACCATGCATATTCACTATCATCACATGACTATGGCATGTATCTTTAATGATGGATGTCTGTAATTCTTTTTAAAGATACTAGCTCTTAAAGATGCCCGAGCTGAGAATTCCGACTTCTGCACGCCACATCGCGGGGCCGCTGGGTGGCCCAGAGTTGGACGCTGAGGTCTGTGCGGCGCAGTACGGCGGCCCTTCACGGTGAGAGGTTCTCAGAGTCTTCCTTATTTCCTGTAGTAGGCTTGGCACTGCTACCACGCGTACGTTTTGAATAAGTTTTAGATTGTTTGATGTAGCCCCGCCGCGGTGGTCTAGTGGCTAACGTACTCAACTGCTGACCCACAGGTCGCGGGATCAAATCCCGGCTGTGGCAGCTGTATTTCCGATGGAGGCGGAAATGTTGTAGGCCCGTGTGCTCAGATTTGGGTGCAGGTTAAACAACCCCAGGTGGTGAAAATTTCCGGAGCCCTCCACTACGGCGTCTCTCATAATCATATGGTGGTTTTGACACGTTAAACGCCATATATCAATCAATAAATCAATCAATCAATCAGGGGCGAAGCTCCTTATAATTTATTACCTAGTTGGTGTTAGGTAAGGTGCCTGAGGTTACAGAGGAGGGGCGTTTCGTTTTGTTCTGTGATCTCCAAACAAGTCGCTGAACGAATGGCGGTATGTCCTCCATGTACTGTGCACGTTAGGCACCGTGCCGTCGGTAGACAACGACAAGTGTAGCAGCTTCCAAGGAAGAGACAGCGGCGGCAGCCGCAAATCACCCCGCTAATTGAGCGAGCAGTTCAGTCCATTTAAGCTTGTTTGCGGCAGCCCTTTTGATGTATGATGTAAGCGTTAGACCAATCACCCCAGCGACCTTGGACGCCCGCCAGGGGACACCCTGGAGCCACAGTAGAACAGGCACTACCAGCATTGATGTACGCAGATGATATAGTGCTAATGGCCGACAACAAGAAAGATTTGCTGAGATTGGTGTACATCTGCGGTAATGAGGGAGATAGGTTAGATTTCAGATTCAGTAAGGAAAATTCAGCCGTCATGATTTTTAATGACAAAGAAGGTAGTAAGCTTAGAATACAGGAGGTCACGCTAGAGATAACAGATAAATACAAATTACTGGGCGTATGGATAAGCAATGGGGCCGAGTACGTAAGGCAACACGAAATATACGTGTCGACTAAAGGTAACAGGAATTGAGCGGTAATGAAAAACAGGGCACTGTGGAAATACAATAGGTATGATGTTGTGAGAGGAATATGGAAAGGGGTCGTGGTTCCTGGTCTGACGTTCGGCAATGCGGTCTTGTGCATGAGATCAGAAGTTCAAGCAAGATAAGAAATTAAGCAACGTGGAATAGGTAGACTTGCCTTTGGAGCTCACAGGAATACACCTAATCAGGGAGTACAAGGTGATATAGGATGGACATCATTTGAGGGCAGGGAAGCTAGCAGCAAGATAAAAATTTGAGAAGTGATTGAGAGAAATGAGGGAGGAGCGTTGGGCTACGAAGGTATTCAGCTACTTGTACATGAAGAATGTCGATACAAAATGGCGGAAGCAAACCAGAAAATTGACTGGTAAATACTTGGAAAACAGCAGGGGGCCAAACCAAAGAGAATTATCGGTTAAGAAGAAAGTGAAGGAAGCTGAGACCGATATGTGGAGAATTGGCATGAATAAGAAGACCACACTAAAGATCTATCAAAACTTTTAAGCAGGAAATTGCCAAGGAAAGGATCTATGACAATACTCGAGGTAGTTCTCTACTGTTTGAGGTCAGGACTGGATTATTGCGAACAAGACATATCGGGCCAAATACGAAGGGGTATACACGGTATGCAGTGCGTGTGGAGAGAAAGAAGAAACTGCGGAACACTTAATAATGTTCTGTAAAGGGCTTCACCCTATAGTTCAGGATGATGGCGCGAGTTTTTCAAAGCACTGGGGTTTAGGGACAGTGAGGGCAAAATAGACTGTAAGCGGGTAGAAATAACTAGACGGAGGTTATCTTATTGGTGGCTAAAGTCAAGGCAAGAGTGAAAATTAAACCCTTCACTGCAAAGTACGAATCCTCAGCCTCACTATTCAAGGAAAAAATAAATCTAGCTTTTGGTTCATTAAGTTTTACGGCTTGGTGGCGCTAGACACCGCCTGATATAAAAGGTACAGCCACATCCATCCATCCATCCATCCATCCATCCATCCATCCATCCATCCATCCATCCATCCATCCATCCATCCATCCATCCATCCATCCATCCATCCATCCATCCATCCATCCATTCATTCATTCATTCATTCATTCATTCATTCATTCATTCATTCATCCATCCATCCATCCATCCATCCATCCATCCATCCATCCATCCATCCATCCATCCATCCATAAGTGTAGTGATTCCTCCCCCAGTCAAGGACGCTGACGTGGGCGATGGTGGGTGGCCCCATCAAACAGTGTTATATGTCTTTGGATTGAACAGTGTAATTTGGAGCCCTTTCTTTTTCCAGGAATTTTGGAAACAGGACTTTTTAAAATCAGTCTTCGCGGCTTCCTTCGGGGGATTTTCGATGCAGTGCTTCTCCTGCTGGTTCTTCACGATGTAGAACTTCTGACGTGATCGTCACGAAGTAAGACGACATCTTTGACTGGATGTTCGTCATGTGGCGACAAACGCTCGCTTGTAAATAATGTAAAATAAACCTCTGTAAATATCTCCCGATGAATGTGGCTTCCTCGCTGCATGAATTCATACCTTAACTATAACATTTATTCCAAGTGTGTCCGATTGTAATAAATATAATCTCGCCATTTTGTTTTTAGGGCACTACAGAACGATATTCCGGTGTACATAATACCAAGGACATCTCTCATTACTCTTAACAATACTATATTCGCTGGAATCAATAATTTAGTTTTACGCATCGTTCGCGCGAAATACGGCAAGCAGTCGGTAAATTTCTCAGCACTTGCTTTGTGGAATTCGCTACCATCTACTCTAAAATCACTAAATACTCACAGGTCCCGATCGGAACTTAAACATTTTCTGCTTGATTTGTCTGATCCCGGTTCTTCACTGTTTTAGGTGTTCTCATTCGGTAGTTTTTGTCTATCTTCTCATCTTTCCAATTCTTGTATCCCCTTTCTGTGATTTGCCTTATTTGTCTTTATATTTTGTTTATTTGTTCGAGCTTTACAATTTTGCATTACCGTTTGTTCTTTTTCAAATGTCTCGCACTCTGCCCTTACTCTCATCGACTATGGCACATAACTTGTTCGATGCTTTTTTGTTAACGCTGTATTTGAGTTACTCGCCTACTTCAATCGAATTAGTCTATAATAATAATATTCTTGTTATTAAGTTCATGAACCGCCAGTTTACTTGTGTTTTGAATTATTTTGCATGCACAAGAGGTCCCGATTCAGTTCTTATCTATAGGACCTTCTTCTGTATATACTAACCATGTAATCTCCCCTTTGTTTGACGTGAAAAATAAAGTGATTCTGACTCTGATTCTGAAGATGGGCAGAACTGGTCCGGTGGCTGCAACCAGCTACTACCACGAGACCCGCCGGACCCAAGCTGCAACGACTGGAAGCAGAGGTGGTATGCTGTCAGACCCGAGTCCTAACAACTGGTCCGCAGCGGTGGGATAAGACGGATCCTCTGAAAGCGGATGGGAGCCAACCGATATGGAACTTCCTACACATGGTGGGATTCAGTTCGTCAGAGTGGAAGGCATCGCTGAAGCTAACTACCCTGATGACCTAAAGCCGTAACATAGTTCCTCGTGGCACTGCTGACAGCTCCGGAAGGAACACGCCTGAATCCATGACTACGCATGGTGAGTGCACGGCTTTTCTTCACTAGAATATCATCAGGCTTTGTGAAGCAGTCATTTTGGTACCGTTGACAGAAGTAAATAACAGAACGTCAAAGTAGTTGAAATAGAGAAGAGTTAGCAGCACTGGGGCAGCCATGATTTTGTAGGCACTAAAGAAGCCGGAACTGTTAGAGTTGGCCCAAGAGTTGGGTCTCCAAATTGCCGACTCGAAGGAAAGCGAGACGTGATTGAGGCGATAAGGCAACTGGGGCAGACGATGATGAAATCGAAGAAATTTTAGGGTACAATGAGCGTAAAAAAGAGGAAGAGAAACGCAAGCAGGAAAGAGAGGAAAGATTGCTCAGGGAGGAATTGGAAGCTTAGTGTAGACATGAAGAACATAGAAAGAAGATGTAGGCATTAGATGAAGAGATAAAATAGGGGCATCGTAAAGTGTAAACAGGTATACATCTGTAGATGTAGCG